GCCCCTCCTTGGCAGATTCCTCTGAGGAAGGATCTACTGACTCAGAGACGGGGCACCGTTTGGCACCTCGCGTCCAGACCTTTGGAAACTTAATGTCTGGTCCCTGGACAGGACGCGGAGGTTCTAGGTGACCTACCCCAAGAGGTAGTTGACACCTTCACTTCGGCGAGAGCACCATCTACGAGACACGCTTATGCCTTGAAGTGGAACCTGTTCGTTGAATGGTGGTCTTCTCACCGACTAGACCCCTGGAAATGTCCGATCAGAGTCATGCTGTCCTTTCTGCAGCAGGGGTTGGAGAGAAGGCTGTCTCCCTCCACCCTTAAAGTCTACGTGGCTGCAATTGCAGGTTGCGAGCTCACTCTACTAGAATTGTTGCATCCTCCTTGGCGCTGGCTTGTGGTGCCTCGCTGGCAGATATTTGTAGAGCTGTGGGCTGGGCGACCCCCAGCACATTCGCTAGATTCTATAGCCTTCGTGTGGAGCCAGTATCTTCCTGTGTTCTCACCTCAAACGGGTAGGCCCCGGCTTTGGGTTGGCTTGCTAAAACCGCTCCAGAGAGTCCATATCGTAGACCCTGTCAAGCTCCTCCGTCCCTTCGGCAGCCAGACGTGGCGGAGTGTCCGGCGCCAGGTCCTCACTCGATGAATCTGTGAGAACCGGTAGAGGGCTGGGTTCCATATGTAGAGACCTAAGTGGATCCCATATATGTAAAATCCACGGTATTGCTATAGGTTTCTGCTATTTTTCAAGAGGGTTACAATCACCTTTAATCTACCATATGCTCCTAGACGGTTGTTCATATGTGTAAGTGCTTCCTAAACCTCCTTCGGGAAGGATGGGCTTCCGCAACGTTCCGGTTCCAAGTGGAACGGGCACGCTATCCATTCTTATTGAGTGGGTAGGTCTTCTTGTGGTAAGCCCCGGCCTACGCCAAAAAGAAGGGGCGCAGGTGGCACTGCACCTGCTGCCTACTTATACTCACGCTTTGATTAGCAGCAGCTGGATGCAATAATCGCATGCCAATGTGCATTGGTTCGTTTAGTTTCATTATCAATGTTTCATTATTCATCAGTAGGGGGACAAATCCAGTGATATCTTAGACTGCACTATTCTCTCTTTTAAACTCTGTTCATAATTATCATTTAGTGTGAACAGGCATTTACAGGGCCAAGTGTGACAATGTAATGCTGAGTTGGACGAAAGCATGATGAGGTAGATCCACATGCAGATTAGGTTTATTAACAAAATGGAACAAAACAAACACTGGTAAACAAGGAAATCAAAAACAAGAGTTTCTACAGAGAAACACATCGACTGACACTGAGCAAGGGAAACACAGTGGTATAAATACGCAAGATAATAAGGCTAACAAGGAGAGGGCTAATGAATCACTATGACAGGTAATGAGGGTAACTATAGCAACAAACAGGGTAGCACAGGGCACTGAACAAGTAAACACATGCCTTGTCCAAATACCCATGCGTGACAGGAAGTGCGCAAGACTGTCCCAGGTCTTAAAAACGCCAAAGCGCAGTGCCCTTAACGCACACTAAATCCACACTATCTCGAATACCGCTCCAGCGTGCTATTCCAGGCTTAGTGTATTCCATCATGCATCATGTTTTGGAATAAATTGTGAGATTTTTGCCAAGATCTCGCGAGAGGTCAGGGAAACCTTTCCAATGTAAGTTAAATAATAATATAATAATTAGATATTATTACATATAATTCGGTAGAAAAACAGTATTGCACATTTTATTGGTGCAAAGATGAGTAGTGGTGATATTTATTTTGTACAACATTTGCAAATGCTTTTCATCACTTAATTAGAAGCACCACAAATTAAATTGTGTCATGTTATGGGACTACTGATCAGACATTTAGAAGTTGATTTTAAAATGCAAAGTATTTAAAATAAAAAATAAAGCTATGTAAACATTTGCATTTTTACAACACTTAGTGTGCCCCATCAGGTAATTAAAAGTTCTACACACACTCGTGGTCTTCATCCTCACTTGGGCACTTAGGCCAAATACAGGAAATAGATCATATGAGTAGTCAAGTGGTCAACTGCAAAGACCGCATGTGTGGGTATTTAGACAAGGGAATGGAAACAAACGGGAATAGAAAACACTTCAAAACAAGAGTCCCTAAACACAAAACCAAGACAGAGGAACACAGACTGGGATCATGACAGACAACAGTATTTTAAAATGTATTAAGAAAATAGCATAATTATTTTTTTTGACAGTGATTTAAAATGTCTTTAGTGTAGCCTGTTCTAGCTTTGTGCAACTCTATAATGTACCAGCACAACCCAAAATTCTAAGCTCCTTCACTGAAACACCTGACTCTATTATCAGTTTTATGTAATACATTTGTTTTAGCTTAATTGGATTCTAAAGACAAAATCCCTCCTTTGACTTTTTGATTAAGAAAGAGTATTATGCTATTAGATAATAGAAGTAGCAAGTGGAGTTAGCACAGAGGACTTAATAAAGTGGCTCTGTGTTATGATTAACAGATTTTAATAAACATGTTTCCACCAGAACTTTAATTTAAACTATTTATAACTGTAAATAACAACATTTTACCTCATCCTCCTTGTCTTCCCACTCCACCTCCGACAGATCCACACTGCTGTAGCTGGATTTTCTCTTCTTTTTCCCTTCTTCATACTGGAAACACAAGCCATGGAAACACCAATGATATTATTTAACATGGACAAACATGATGTGTATTAGAGTGATACTGTAGTAAACATAATTATTATCATCACAATATTCTTTCATCGCTAATCATTAACAAAACATATTTTCTATATATGTCAATGCAACATCTATAACCCTAATTAATGTTTGTCCCACAGATATCAGACTATCGAAGTTGTTACTCCTTTCGTAATAGAACATAGAACACCACAGCTTTACTGTGTCACTGGTGCTTTTTTTTTTAAAGAAGATTTCTGTGGATCGGTGTGTGCAACAGGTATAGACTGCCCTCCAGTGGCAGAATGAAACTAACGGAAGAGACCAGGGGCCTCATGTATAAAACTTTACGTAGATTTCATCCTAAATGTGTGCGTACGCACATTTCCATGCCCATTTTGTGGATACGCAACGTTTATACATCAGGCCCCAGATGCTTATCTTTTAAAATGGGAGATAACAAAAGAGCGGGCTTTTCTGTTGCATTGTGTAGTTTGAATATGGGAGTGTGTGTAGATACAGAGACATCAGCTGTACCCTGGACACCAGTAAATCTCTCATGTCAGTTTTCACTCAAAAAAATAAATAAATAAATAACAATAATTAAATAAATAACAAATCATTTTAAATTAAAGTATTAGAAATGCTACCAAAAGGCAGTATAACAAGTATTACCACAATACATGAAACAAATTACAAATTAAATGCTGTAACTAGTCACATTACCATACCAAGAAAGAAACGTATTTGCCTTATGGTAATGATGAGAACATGCTTAATTGTTATGAATTGTAATGGCTCTAAAAATTCTCCTTCAGTTTGACTTAGTTGGGATGAAATATCTCCTAAATTTTTATCAATGGCTTGGTGAGATTCATGCAGAGGACATATAAATATATAAACGCTTGTGATCGTGTTGACCATTTTCATTGCCCTCTTGCACAGATCCTGTTTATCCTGAGCACTTTCCCTGTTTGACTGTTTCACAGGCAGCTTTGTTTATCGACACAATTCACACAGCAGCGAGATCATGAAGGAGGTTTTGATTCTTATGTCTGTTGATGTAAGTAGAGTGTGTTCCCATCTCATCATCTGTCAAACACTCATAACAGTTGATCAGAGGCCGTTTGCAGCTGTCGGCTCACAGCACAATGACTCTAATGAGATGCATTCTCCCATCAGCCTCAGCATGTGCTGGAAGACTGCTTCTTCGCTATTATCATCACAAGCGATACATTACCAGAGGCTGCAAGTCTGGATGGGTGAGTATGTATCCATTATTGGTGATGGCGAAGGCATAACCATAGATTCCCAGCTGTGAACAGACACACACACAAACACACACACCAGAAGCAGCAATCAAATTCAGAGATACTGTCACATTTTCAAATGCCTCGTCAGTTTGTCTTTAAGTGCTTCAGCCATCTATAATCTAGAGTAATGCTAAAAGTTTACAAAATGAACACTTAACACATTTACACATTTAATATTTGCAGTAAACTGGACCAAAAATGTTGAGCACTCATCCGATTTTAGTCCAATCACACACTCTGAAGAATGGCACAATGTTCAAACCAGTTGTGATTTGATAAGATTCAAGCACTGTATCTGTCCACGCCAGATGCAACATATCAATCAAAGATCACAGCCAAGAATGCATGGGTTGGCCCTCTCTGCAAACACACTGCTGTATATATGCCGAGGTGCTGCACATGTATTGCTGTGAATGGTGTACTGCACAATATAGTGTATCCAGGGCGGCTCTAGTAATGCAAGTCCTGCCTTTCCTTTTAAAAAAATACAGGAGTTGGTTTAGCATGTCAGAAAATAGCTGCCTGGAGACTTTGCAAATATTGCCGGAGAGTGAGCTGGCTTTCCTTGAGATTTTGCTCACATTTACAACAAAATGTATAAAGATATAATCAAATATATAATATTTTAACATTATTCAAAATACATACTCAGTCATACAATCAGAGAGTTTACATAGAGTTCATGGTTTGAATTTTATTTAATTTTTTAAGTTATTTTCAGTATCTGGGGACTTTGCTATAAGTTTGATTGCATCATATAATAATTGCTGTTAATAGTGTTCATCGTCTGTTTGATTACGTCTTTAATAGATTTTTCCGTACATTTCTGCCATATATACATTAACTGACAGTCACCACTTAAGCTACTACTAAATATTGTATAGACTTAATTTGCTGTAAAGTTGCTTTGCAACGATTTGTATCGTGAAAAGCGCTAAACAAATAAACTTGAATTGAACAATTATCCATTGTCTCGTTCATTAAGGTTGCTGCAACAAAGTGCACAAGTCACATCACAAAATGATATTCAAACTCAAATTAAATAATTTTATATAATGTGAAACACATTCAGTACTTAAGCTGTCAGCTGCAATGTTGCAGAAATAGAAACCATTCCAAAAATAGAATCATCTGTCGCTCATTGTGTATCATCATCAAATCTGGTTAGGACAGTGTGAGAATGTTCCTCTCCCTAATACCACCTGCCATTGACTAGTGTGTCGAGATAGGCTGTTCCTTCCCATTCGAATTATTGTGTCACATCATCAGGATGAATAATACCGTATTAGGACTTGCACTACCTGGAAATGTGTCATTGCTAACCTGCCTTTCTTCTAGTATTGCATGTGGTTGCATTGATTAGTTTTCTGTGTCTGTTTGTGCAGTGTGCTAGACAATGATATGAGTGTTGCGAAAGAAAGAAAGAAAGAAAGAAAGAAAGAAAGAAAGAAAGAAAGAAAGAAAGAAAGAAAGAAAGAAAGAAAGAAAGAAAGAAAGAAAGAAAGAAAGTCTCAAACTAGAACATTCACATCACAAAATGATATTCAAACTCAAATTAAATCATTTTATATAATGTGAAACATAATCAGTACTTAAGCTGTCAGCTGCAATGTTGCAGAAATAGAAACCATTTCAAAAATAGAATCATCTGTCGCTCATTGTGTATCATCATCAAATCTGGTTAGGACAGTGTGAGAATGTTCCTCTCCCTAATACCACCTGCCATTGACTAGTGTGTCGAGATAGGCTGTTCCTTCCCATTCGAATTATTGTGTCACATCATCAGGATGAATAATACCGTATTAGGACTTGCACTACCTGGAAATGTGTCATTGCTAACCTGCCTTTCTTCTAGTATTGCATGTGGTTGCATTGATTAGTTTTCTGTGTCTGTTTGTGCAGTGTGCTAGACAATGATATGAGTGTTGCGAAAGAAAGAAAGAAAGAAAGAAAGAAAGAAAGAAAGTCTCAAACTAGAACATGACAGAAAACTATTAAATATGAACATTTACTAAAGTTTGGGCAGCTATACAGCAGCCTTTATCGTAAATAATTATTACACATAATAATCTGGATGTGCTCTGTTTGCCAGAAACATAGCTTAAACTAAAATATTACATGATCTTAAATGACTCTACACACCAAGGTTATGGCTATAAACATGAATCTTGCTTGAAAAGCAATACCGTATTCTTGCTTGCCCTGGAAATGTGTCATTGCTAACCTGCCTTTCTTCTAGTATTGCATGTGGTTGCATTGATTAGTTTTCTGTGTCTGTTTGTGCAGTGTGCTAGACAATGATATGAGTGTTGCGAAAGAAAGAAAGAAAGAAAGAAAGAAAGAAAGTCTCAAACTAGAACATGACAGAAAACTATTAAATATGAACATTTACTAAAGTTTGGGCAGCTATACAGCAGCCTTTATCGTAAATAATTATTACACATAATAATCTGGATGTGCTCTGTTTGCCAGAAACATAGCTTAAACTAAAATATTACATGATCTTAAATGACTCTACACACCAAGGTTATGGCTATAAACATGAATCTTGCTTGAAAAGCAGTGCATGTTGCATCGCAAACAGAGCCCATTATAACCAATGGCACTGACCACACTGAACGCAGGATGCAGGAGGACCATATAATCAGATACGGCTTTATTTATTTATTTATTTGTTCGTTTATTAGTTGGTAGGTTGGTTCGGCAGAATTTGTCCGTTTTTGTCCGTTCAGAATTTTGACTCGTCAGTCGTTAAGTGTGTCGTGTAGTGGACTGACTCAGTCATTAGGCTTGTGCTTCTCTCTGACTGTAAAATTGCACAACATTCTTGAATGAAATGCATGCAAAAGCAACAAATTAATTGCATGTCTATTCTCCTAGAATAAGCAAGCAAGGGATGAGACTCCTGATGAGTGCCAGCCTGCCCACTGCGCAAACTTATTAGTGACTGAAGCAACAGTAAACAGGAAAACTTATACAAGCTGACAGAGATTGCATTGTGAACTTTCGGACTTGAACACAACTCCTCATGTGTGAACTCCACCTGAGAAATACACTGCACATGGTTTAGGGAGTGAGAGAGAAACAGAAATCCTCTGCTCATTCTCGACAGCCTCGAGCTAAACATTGGATTCCCAGGACTCTAGCTTTTGTGGCACCTCAGTCAGCAACCATAGAACTAGACCTATGGGAGATGGAAGATTTTTCTTTTTTTTTTCCCTTAAGAAGCACTTTCATTTTAAGTGTGAGCAGTTCAATGAGCTGTAGCACTTAACACACTTACTATGCTCATTATCGACCATCTCAGTCACTCAAGTATGCAGGTGTGTGTGTGTGATTGTGCGTTTCAGGACAGATAATGACTGTAATTAGCAGCTCCCAGCTAGTAAGTCTCAGCTCTACTTAACATTTTGTATTGGTTCTATAAAGTGTGTGTGCATTGTATGGGTCTGTTCTTCACTACTGATGTGACATGATTGATTGTTTGTATGTTAAATAAATGAATATATTTTTGTACTTGAAGCCACATCTCTTGTCCTTTATTGAACGGACCTGTGATCCTTTTGGTGGGTGGACTTATTTGCACTCCAGTGCCAGTCTGAGAACCTCTGCCAGGGAACAGGCAAAGTCAAGTTTATCTTTCTTTAGTTTACATCTTGTTCTGGTATAGGCTCTTCTTCTCCACTTGACCACAATAGCAAGTAACAAATCATGGTCCATATCGATGATATAACTCAAGTCTAATGACCATTTAAATAAGAAATCCATCCATCCATCCATCCATCCATCCATCCATCCATCCATCCATCCATCCATCCATCCATCCATCCATCCATCCATCCATCCATCCATCCATCCATCCATCCATCCATCCATCCATCCATCCATCCATCCATCCATCCATCCATCCATCCATCGATTCACTAACACTCTCTGGTGCTAGACACATAATCAACAGGTCCAAGTTCTAATGAATGGACAGTTATAGGTGACTTGTCTGTGTACCTTGTATTTAGGGATGGCCTTCAGTATTTCAGACACTGGAACATCTGTGCCAACTACTCCAAGAAGAATTCCTTTATTTCTCTTAAAACAATGAACACAAGCATGTTAAAAATCAAAGCAAAAAGCAAAGCAAAAAAAATCTTAAAAAATGATGTAGAAACCCTGAGCTGTTTAATGCCATTTAACGCTGAACTCATACGTCATCCGCCCGGCGCTGCTTCCTAATTTTCATTTTTGGGTGAACTAACCCTTTAATATTTGTTATGATTCATCATACTTTATTGGTTAAATGTTTTGACAAGTCTAAAGTGACGTGTGGCGTACCATACTCAGAATGTGTGCTCTGCATTTAACCCACCCAAGTGCACACACACAGACACATCATAAACACACACCCGCAGCAGTGGGCAGCCAATGCTGCGGTGCCCGGGGAGCAGTTGGGGTTTTTGTACTTTGCTCAAGGGTCTCACCTCAGTCGTAGAATTGAAGGTGGAAGAGAGCACTGGTTATTCAATCCCCCCACCGACAATCCCTGCCGGACCTGAGACTCGAACCCGCGATCTTTGGGTTACAAGTCTGACTCTCTATCCATTAGGGCACGACTGCCCCACTATTAATATCAGTTTCCAATTAAACCTTTCTACATAATTTTTTCTTTCTTACTTTGGCATATTTCCTCTCTCTATTAGTATAGTTTGATGAGTGCTATACAGAAAACATTCATACTGACTAAATAGCCACTGGTTAACATTATCGAAGTCAAAGTTTAGCATCACTTACAGTCTCGTTCTTGGTGCTGAACACAGGCATGGCCACAGTAGTCATGAGCACAGGACCCTGAGCATCTTCCAGCTACACAAATACACAACAACACATAACAAAGACGTGGATGAATGTTATTAATTTCCTGGTTCTCATGGGAAAGTGATTGGCCATCTGTTTTCACATTTGTTTCTGCAACAGATACTTTTTTGACATTTCATTTTATTTCATCATCATCTGAAATAATGTCAAATTGGTTAAGTCATTAGGGTGCTTTGGCACTAAAATAATTAAAATAAATGAAACAAATTCATAAAGAAAATCATAGATCGGTCTATTTTTTTAATCTGATAATGAAGCGTGTTTCTCAGGCAAATGAAGCTGTGGACATAGTACTAGTTCAGACATTAGTTTTATTATTTTGATGTGTGTCTAGGGCAGTGTTAGCCAACATTGTTAGCCAAGTGTGTTTTATAGGATTGGAGCTGAACTCTACAGGATGCATTTCCCAAAACCATTGTTAGTCAACTATGGTCAGCAGTTCCATCGTTACCAACATAGCTCAAAGATTATGTGTTTCCCAAAACCCCAGTTCAAACAAACATTAACAAACGGCATCACAAGGTTGTGTGTTTGGAACTACTGCTCTATGAATCGATCTATTATATATAGTTACAGCAGCATCTCTGAGAAATTAAGTTAAGGGCAATGCTCCTGATTGAATAAACCATACACGGGAGTATGCTATGCCAGTGATGTCAAACTCAGTTCCTGGAGGGCCACAGCCCTGCAGAGGTTAGCTCCAACTCTTAGTAAACACACCTGAACCACCTGCATAACGTGATTTAAAAAAAAAAAAATGAACGGTTTTGTTTTGTTTGTGTAAATGAATTATAATATTCTGATATTAAAGTCAAATTTATCTCAACATTTTTACTTCATCACCTGTGTGCAATGTTCACTCTATTTGTTTTTTTTTTCTTGCCGAGCAAAATTTTTCCCTATTGGGCAGACATTTCGGCCACCTGAGCAAAAACATTCTTTATACCAGACCTGTACAGCACACACACACAAAAAGTGTGTAAATTCACTTTAATGTGCTATTTATATTTTATTTGACCCTTGATGTAACTAAATGATGCACATTTCAGGTTACCTGAGAAAACATTTGTTACCAAAAAAATCTATTAAAAATCATTTTTAAAAATGTCACGCAGAACAGTTCAATTCTTTATAATAATATAATATAATAATATAGCTAATATGAAAAAATTAAGCAGTTATTGAGGTCAATTATTTATTAGGCTTATAATATAATTTCAAAACATTTTCAAAAAACATGAACATGTGAATTCTTTTACAGTTATCTAAAACATCCCCATATTTGCGCACTACTACACCTGTGTGTACCTGTAAATGTCTTGGGGCCAGTTTTACTAAACAGGGCAAAATAACATGGCTTGGAAACGATATGTTCGGATAATGTGTTCTTTCCAAATAAATTAATACGTGTGGAAAACTCCTAGAAATGCATATTCAATAAGGTCAGGCGCAAAAATAACTGTCCACGCCTTTTCAGTGCTAATTCATCACTGCGCATCTTTAGTAAATCCTGACAGTATTATTTTAACGCCAAAAGACGGTTTGTGCTGCACAAGCTGTTAATAAAACTGGCCCTTTGAGTTTTGATAAGACAGCTGTGATTCATTGCATTACATTAACAGAAAGCCAAATAATTTAAAGATAATATAAAGTATTTTTCAAAAACTAAGTTTTATTAGTATTTTCGTGCTGTGCCAGTGAGGGCGGCGTATGTGACGTAGCCATGCGCACTTACTAGACAGACTAGTATTTAATGTCGAGGAGGACTCTATAGCCTACAAGACTGAACTAGGAAGGACGCAACCTTGGTAGGATGCAGCCTTCCCTTTGAGAAGCACGTTTGCGTTGGCTCTTGTGTTGAGCTATTTCGTCCGATTTCTAGAGCGACTGATTTGGCACACATCATTCTCTTTCTATGACACCTCTAAACCGCATTCACCGGTTCTATAGCGACACCAACTCTGTAGCAGTTTGCCCAAGCATTGCAATTATTTTGCATTTACTAGAATTCAATCAAATGGCTTTCTCAACTTATTTCTTCAAATGTCCTGTGCATGGCCGTGTTCGTGCACAGCTTAGAGGGAGCATTGCCTGTGTGCGACGGTGATAATGGCAGTCCTTTATTCTGCTGAACCATCATGGTTCATCTGAGGGATGTGCACACATGATTTCGGGAAACAGTCATGACTAGTTGGTTACTTTCTTCAACAATGCATCATACTACGGATGTTCATCAGTTAGTTACACCATTTTTTTCTTGTTTGCTGGACATGCCTTTTCTATTAACTGACGTTTTAATTGTTAATTTTTTTGTTTATTTGTTTGTTTTGCTTTTTATTGTAATAACACATATTTAGGTTATTCAGACAACTCTTGCTGTTCCCTTTATTTGTCACAGTGCTAAGCTACTTGTGACATTATCATTACTTTTATTGGAATAAGGATAGGATTATTATTATTGTTGTTGTTCAGTGGCGTGGTAGGGCCAATCGCCGACGCTAACGTTTTTTTATATTATGTGAGCTGTATAATTTGCAAGTTATAAATAACTATAGGCTAATAATGAAGACCGTTACCTGTGGTAACACTGCAACAGCAAATATAATAGCGGACACAATCAATAAAGGATACACTATAATAACTTCACATGAATAATGTGAAATCTGTGATAAAATGGTAATGAATCTCTGAACGCAGTGACTCATGTGCACTCAGATCATGTGACCTCATGCTCAGGTGTGGATGGATGCGGCTCAGCTGCTAGGGACTCTGTGGCTGATGGCAGAGAGTGACTTGGAGAAGAGCTTTATCATCTGTATCTAAATCAGAACCGTCACAGTCTGCTTGTCTGATTGCAGCAACACACATGCATATGCACGATTCATGCACAATTACACATTCACAATAACTCATTTGATGAATTCATGATCTGTAAACATCCGAAAGTCACAATCATACATTCTCACAAGACGTCGGAAATGGGGCAATGAGCTGCGCATTAGTGGAAGAGAGACAAATCAGCTTAAACTGTCATATATATTCTTTTCTTATTTACTCTACTCTCTCGATGTCTCTGGAGGAGTAAATGGGCTGTAAAATGATGGATGATTGAGCTGGGTTGTGGTGAGAATTTGGAAGCACAACAATAACTCAGACTCTTGAGAACACTACACACACTCAGAGCATCATCCAGATGCTCATGCTTATTGTCTATGATACTGAACAAAAAATAATTAGTCATCAGATATGTCACTGAAATCAGTTTTTGGTTAATATGGTTGACTGATGCTCAATATGCATTCTAAAACAGAGAAGTTTCATGATCTTTTTCAGAGCTGACCTCTTAAGTTATTATTAAATGTATTATAACAATGTACTTACGTCCTACTTAGATGAAAAAAAAAAACACTCTTAAATTCAACTAACTTCATTTAATATAAATTTAAACTGTAATATATTTTCATAAAATTGTAAATAACATGCAGTTAAGTTATGAAAACATCACATTCAGTTTGTACCTAAGTGTATTCTTTTGAAATATACTGCTAAAAAAATGAAAGGAACACTTTTTAATCAGAGTATAGCATCAAGTATGCATGCATGTCAGGTATGCATACAAGCACATGGGGGCCATACAAACTACTGAGTACCATTTTGAGTTGCTGCAATGAAATTTCAGCAAAATGGACTAGCCTGCTACAAATCATTTCACTTTGATTTCCGGGGTGTCTTTTAATTCAGCCCTCTGTAGGTTGATCATTTTAATTTCCATCAAACGATGTGGCATCCTTTCGTTTCTAACACATTACCCAGTCCATATCAGTATAGATATTATCCAGCATGATATTTTTCCCCATTGAGATCTGATGTGTTTTCAAAGCGTTCCATTAATTTTTTTTTAAGCAGTGTATATTTCCACAATAAGTACTCATTTTAAAGGTATGCTGAAGTTTACTATTTTTTAACAAGGGTCAGCTTACCGAAGGGATCTTATGACATTTTTTTATTCGTTTAGTTAGTGTCACTCCAGCAGAATAGCAGAGTGTGACAATGTTTGGAAGAATATATTGTGTTTTGAAGAAACTAAAGTTCTGCTGTTTAATGAAAAAACAGCAGAAACAGAAAAAATTCAAGAAGCTAAATGTAGGTACATCCTTTAGGTAAACTAGTAAAACTATGAGACGATGAACTGTTCTACTTTTAAGAATATTGTACATCAGCAACAGAATTTCATAGTTCCGTCAAGCCAGGCAACCAGTAAAGAAAGAGGTGATGTGTAATTTTGGGCAAGTGACGTCTGTCCCTGCCAACACATACAAAGACTTCCACTAACTGCAATACAGATACTCTGAGTGCACAGATGACTGGAAAATCAAGTATGGCAGTGATATAGACTACACAAAGTCATCACTTAAAAAAAAAAAAGTTCATGAGAAGTCAAATAAGAATGAAAACTTGTCCAAACTGCACACAATATAATGTAACAAAGCAGATCCACGTAATGGGTTAATGTGCTATGTAGAAACACCGCTAAATCACAATCAAAATGTGAATTAAACCTTTACCTTTTGAGCCTGTGGACGCTACAAAGACAAAAGACAAACTACGATCAAATGAGTGCGCACACACATATTACAACTTCTCCTTGTCATTACTTCCTAAAGTGGTGTCTGGATCTGAAATATATTTGGAAGTTAAGGAGAGGTAAAAGCTCCATTAATTTTATCCATTTTATGAGGCCCTTGCCGGCACTCAGCTCCTTCAGCAGGTCAGCCTCCTAAGCCTCCTAACAATTTCTCTTTGGTGGCTGGGCCCGACCACTAGTCAGGAAACATTCGTCAAGTTTACTACGAGGCGCTTTCATTCTTTCCTTAGGCCACTCGATGCTAAGTTTAGCTACCACCTTTATCAAAGCTTTAAACACCCCCTCAAATGCTATTGAGTGAGGAGACTGCTCTACGGGTGCACTCGGCTCCTGAACTAAAATCTAAACTACGCAGTACAAATTGTGCTCAGCTTAGAGAATATGGGAACGTTTGCACTGTAGCCTGATCTGCATAAAAAAAAACAGTACAGACAGTGTATTCAAATACACTGCACTTTTGGTTTGCACAATACACAATACTCTTCTCTGTGTGCATGGGGTTCATAAGGTTAACAATGATTTATATGTGGATTTTCACATGAAAAAAATGTAAAAAACATAAATGAGTCACTTACAGTGTTATCAACATAGGCTTCTGTCCACACCATGTCATGCTCTCGATCAATGACCTTCGGCCGACTGAGCACATGCAGATACTCCATCACATTCTCCTGAACATCTGCCAGTGTGGAGATCTGGGTAAAATAACCTGACAACACAGGAAAAAAAGTGAAATTATAATTATAAATATTCATTGATGTGTGAATGCGTACACACAATTTTAAAACTATGTACAAAATTAAAAACACTCAGTGATTTGTTGTCTGCTGTCATGAGTGAGAGTATACAGGATTTGTTGACATGCTAATTCTACACTAACATAGGAAATCAAATTTTGTGCAGGATCCCGCACATTCTAAAGCATACAGCCAAACAGTCAGCCTACAGAACGTGCTAAGCAATGTTGCTGTCAACAAACCTCATAATCATAATCATAACATGATGATAGAATACAAATCAAGGCAGACAAAAGCATTATACTATTTTTTTTTTAATATCCAAATGTGAAGCAATCAATGACATGATCAGAGAAACCTGGAACACAGCACAAAGCCCAAGAATACAAACAACAATCGACCAAAGACCATGGCAAACACAAGTTTAAATATATAACTAATCAAGGGATAACAAGGAACATCTAAAGACAATTAGGACAGGGATAATAGAAAGATAACTACAAAGACCAGGAAACAAAACTACAAGGAGACATGACATCATAAACAAAATACAAGTTGCAAAATACAAGACTCAAAGTAAGAAACATTTCACTAATACAAAAACACAGTCTTAGCAGGTGACTGACAGATGACTATGGTGATACGGGCCAATTAGAGAGCCTCCAGGACGGCACCAGTAATACAGGACACCATGGAGGTGCTGGAAGTTCAGGAAGCTCTGGAGGTGTCAGCGACTCAAGGATTCAGGGAGCTTGGGAGGTACCAGCAGTGCAGGAAGCTTGGCTGCATCAAGGGGACGTGGAACACAGAAGAACATAGCGGCCTCTGTACTTGACTCTGGGGTGTGAGTGGGTTCCAATGCAGACTCAGGGGCTAGAGCAGGCCCAGGACTGTGGTCAGGGGATGGAGCTGACACAAGCAGACTCTAGATAAGAGGACTGGGGGATAGTGAACTTCCTTAGAGCCGATCTGACAGAAATGATCGAGGGATCCATTACCTTTGCCATCAGGTTTGCACTGTTAGACACAGCCTTTCTGGCGGCAGATGTTTGCTTTTGCATCTGTAGCTGGTGAAAGTCTGGATGGTCCCTTTGGTCTTTGGGACTGATAATTTGATGACTGTTTTTCAAGAACAAGCTGAAACGTGGACTCATCTGAGCACAGCACACATTTCCACTGCCTTTTTGAATTCTGCCAATTTACTGCTCCAGTCTCCAACAACTCCCCTTGTGTTTGCCAATATACTGAAAAAGTGCTAATTTTTTTCTACCTTACCTGCTCTGTTGGTGCTTATATATTCACCTAGAGTACTGATTGTCACAATAAACAATCCTGTGTTGTTTCACCACATTATCTGAGTCTGTTTTCCTTGACCTTATCCCGGAGTTAAGAATGAATTCTGGTTATTTATTATCTGACATGTCACACATACATTCATAAACCCTGGGTTACTGTTCTTATTTGCATATTTGCAGTATCAACAGTCATGACTCATGACTAGATATACACAAAATCACATTTGGTTTCCGAGTCCGACTGTTGAAAATCTGTAATATTCAACAATTTGGACACCGAGTTGCACTAGGCTCCTAATATCTCTGGGATCAAACTATATAGTGCCTTTAAAATTAAGATTCCAAAGGAAAAGTTTCTTTGAAACGAGAATCTAAAATTACTTCTTGAATTCCAGGTGTGCAAACTTTGGGAAAAGAACAATTTTAGCAATCAGATAGCAATCAGATAGGTATGTTCTATGCAGTTGTTTGGATGGAGGGAAACAATATATATTTCTACTTTAAATATTATTTGTTTTTCATACATTGTTCTTTAAATGAAATAAGTATCAGCTGTATGCTAAGTGATCATTTGGTTTTCAATCCTTGAAAATAGGTACAATTTCACAATTTGGACATCGAGTCGCATTGGACTCCCCATATCTTTAGGATTGAACCACATAGGGTCTTAAACATTAAGTTTATGAAAGAAAAGTATATTAAGAAACAGAATTTAAAAAGCTATAAAGATATCTTTAATTCTTCTAGAGCAGGGTTGGGCAAACTTGGCCCTTCCAGGCCACTTTCCTTCAGAGGTTAGCTCCAACCCTAATCAAACACACCTGAACCAGCTAATCACTGTTTTCAAGACTACTAGAAGGCTACAGGCAGGTGAGTCATATCAGGGTTGGATCAAATCTCTGCAGGAAAGTGGCCTGGAAGGGCCAAGTTTGCCCATCACTGTTCTAGAGGTACAGGCACGCAAACATTGGAAAAAGAATATTTATGGTAGGGTGACCATACGTGCCATTTTCCCAGGACGCGTCCTTGCCAGGATTTGTTTTGGCTTTGTTTTTTCCTGTTTTCATGCTTGCTGAAGGTAATGATCGAAAAGTAGTTTGACCAATAACATGCAGGCATTGTACATAATGGACCAATCATGGTGTGTGTGAGAAGGTGGGATCTACGGTCAAAGCGATGCAATTACGCGTACATATTAGGTGTGTTCGACTTAAAAGCAGTGCGGCTCAGACCGATCAGTGTTTGACATCAAAGTACCTCGAGAGCGTTTCGAAAGCCTAACCGTCTGTATGGTATTTTGATGTCATACACCAATCGGTCTGCACACGCAAACAAAGCCAAAACCTAGATATTTTAGGCAATATAGAAATCCTGGCCAGGACGTGTCCTGGGAAAATGGCACGTATGGTCACCCTAATTTATGGCACTTGGATAGGTATGTCCTATGCAATTGTTTTGATAGAGGGAAACAAGATATGTCTAGTTTTAACATTATTTCAGTCATGACAACTCGTGGGGTACATTATAAATTTTAATTTTAATAATGTAAATATAATGTGCATAGGTTTGGTCTTGGCGGACTAGATCTGCTACGATGCTGCTGCTAAATGCTTAGGTCATAAAATTAAAAGGAAACATGCTGCTGCTAGATAGAGGAAGATCCCCTTAGCAGATCTAGGCAGGCGGTGCTGTGGAGGCGGTGGGCTAAAATGAGGACATGCATAGCGTGCAGACATAGCATTCATTGAATATGTCCTGGTTATATAGGTAAACAGTAATGACTATGTCATTCCGATTGTCTGGGAATGTTGACTTGAATTAACCAATTAGAACACAAGTAGAGTTTGATGGCAGAACTATTCTTTTTTTTTTCTTCAGACATTTCTCTTTATATGAAAAAAAGTATCAGCTGAATGCATTTGGTTTTTGACAACTGAAAATGTACAATTTAACAATTTACTCTTGGAGCCACATTGAAAATTAAAGGGGTCATCGGATGCCCATTTTCCACAAGTTGATATAATTCTTTAGGGTCTTAATGAAAAGTCTATAAGATATTTTGGTTATAATTTCTCAATGGTAGTATAAAACAACGCCCTTTTTATCCTGTCAAAAACAGCTCTGTTCACAGCGATCCGTTTTGGTGCATTTCCCTTTAAATGCTAATGAGCTCTGCTGCCCCCGCCCCTCTCTTCCGTGGGGTGATGAGCCGTTCTCATGAGACTGTTTACTTTAGTTGCGGAACTTGCTAACTAGCCCGTTATTAGGAAAGGCGATTTGCAAAGATTCATAAAAGAACCTTATACTCACTTCTTCTGTAGGTGAGGCTGTATCACGAATGATTTATGCGAACATAGAGGCATTTAGATAGATCTGGGGGCGCATTCCCTTCAAAAATAAAGGTAATCCACTGTGTCTTCAGTGGCTCAGATGTCGGGAGTAAATGACGACTGCTATGTTCATTATTACATCCAACAAGAGAGCACCTCAATCGCTTAGGAGCCATTCTTGTCTACTCATGCTTCGGTGGTGAAACAATGGCGGACTGATGACAGCTCACTCAGGGTGGGTCTAAGGTAAAACGCTAGTGTCAATCAACAATCGTGGGAGGGGCCTGGGTCTGTGTGATGTCACACAGACAGGCATCTGAGAATGGTTTGATATGAGAAAGAGGAAATCATTTAATGAGATTAAAAAAAACACTGGGTGGATCTTTATCATTATAAGGTGGTTGTGTACACACACTGCCAACACACATTTCAGTTCAAACAACTTGTAAAACTGCATGTCGCATCCGATGACCGCTTTAAGAACTAAAATATCTTTATAAGATAAGATATCGTTAATGCCTCTTGAATTACAGGCACGCAAACCTCAAGGGAAAAATAATCAACAAGAAGTGATTTTTCCTATTTTTTAACTGTAACCATTGGCATATAATGCAACAATAATTGCTAAAGTCAACAGATTTTACTAATGGAGCTACCAATCTCTGTGTAAAAATAACATAATGATGCTGCCGTCTTTCTGAAGTCATTTTTACCCCCTTGTAATTTGGCTCTGAATCTCAGGTGAAAATTGTCATTTTGAACCCCCTCTACAAAACAGATGATTACTTAGTAAATATACTGTACAGTACATCCATTACATTTAATATTCAGGCTTTCTCCTTCATTTATATATTTCTTTTAACAGAAAAAAAAATCAAAAATTTTAACCGGGGACCTCTGGTCTGGGTTGAGTTGACATGAACACACACACACACACACACACAAAGACATGATAAAGTATGATTATTCATAAGAAGTATAATATTCATAAGCTATAAAATAATAATTCATACACTATACACAAGCCATTGTTTTAACTTGAATAAATTGAAAAGAGCAATTTTAGACAAATGTAGGTTCTGTTCCCTTTCAGTCGGTCACGTTCGACGTTACGTCAGAACAGACTGACGAATGGGGTCTCGCCCGAGAGCCCAATCACCTTCGAGTGGTAACAGAACGAGCCAATGGTACACTGAGTACCTTGGTCTGCGGAATTTGCATTGCGAGCTCCGCCCCGCTGTGTGGGTATATAAGGAGCAGCGCGAGCAACTCGCATTCAAGCTTTCGCTTCGGAGCCGAGCACATCTCTCTGCTGGTATCACCGGAGTGTTTTGCAACGAGTCTTCAGTGGTGTTCGTGTGACAGCGCGATTCAGCGGTTCGTTGAAGAGCTTCCTGCTTCTTCTTTCCAGCTCCTGTGTTCCCCTGAGCGCTTTAGCACCTCTGAAATAGCTTATTTTATCTAAAAGAGTATACGGGTTGTGTTTGCATCTTTTGCGAGGATGGTTCATGTTCTCCGAGTGATCATCACTCCGGCCTGCCGCCGAACCTTCACCCCGTGGTTGGACCTCTCGTTTCTACAGGCTGGTATTCCCCTAGAACCAGTGTCCAGGCATGTTGTTGTGTCAACAGATGCCTCTCCCATGGGCTGGGGTGCCATGTGCAACGGACATGCTGCGTCAGGCTCCTGGACGGGACCCCGACTTCAGTGGCATGTCAATTGCCTCGAGTTGCTAGCAGTACTGCTTGCTCTGCACCGCTTCAAGGCCCTGCTGAAGGACAAGCACGTTCTGGTCCGTACGGACAACACTGCGACCGTAGCGTACATCAACCATCAGGGCGGTCTACGCTCCCGTCGCATGTCGCAACTCGCTTGCCATCTCCTCTTGTGGAGTCAGAAGCATCTGAGGTCGCTCCGTGCCGTTCACATCCCAGGCAGGCTCAATCGTGCTGCCGACGAGCTCTCACAACAGCAGTCTTGCCCCGGGGAATGGAGACTCCATCCCCAGTTGGTTCAGCTGATTTGGGAACGCTTTGGAGACACTCAGGTAGACCTGTTTGCCTCTCCAGACAATTCCCACTGCCAGTTGTTTTACTCCCTGACCGAGGGCACCACCGCACTGCAGAGAGCTCCTTTCGAACCCCTGCTTTCAGTGGAGCTAAAATTCTTATCATTGAAAACTTTGCTCCTGACGGCTTTGGCTTCGGGACTTGCAGACATTTTCAGTTGACGAAGCGTGCCTGGAATTCGCGTCGGCCATCTCTCACATTATCTTGAGACCCCGGCCTGGATACGTGCCCAAAGTTCCCACCACTCCTTTTAGAGATCAGGTGGTGAACTTGCAAGCACTGCCCCCGGAGGAGGCAGACCCAGCCCTGGCACTGCTCACTGGATAGTGGATGCTATTGTCTTGGCTTATCAGGCTCAAGACCTGCCATGCCCCCTAGGGGTGAGAGCTCACTCAACTAGGAGTGTGGCTTCCTCCTGGGCGCTGGCACATGGCGCCTCGCTAACAGACATCTGTAGAGCTGTGGGCTGGGCGACACCCTTCAGGCCAATAAACAGGACCTGCTCTGTGTCAATTCGCTTGCTGCGCCATTCCACTCCACAGACTGGATGCGTGTGCTATTCTCCTCAGGTGAGTTCCACAGTTCAGAACCCTGGGTTCCTCCAGCACTGTTATGTCGAGCACTTGCGTGCATGCCCTGTCCGTCAGCCCCTGTGTTAGACTAGGTGCTTCCATGGGTTGTGGTTCCCCTCTTGGGTAATCCCACGTGTGTATTTCCACAGTAAGTCTCTCTCGGCAGCATGTGTCTTTCCCTTGGCAAGCCACCCTTGCCATCTCTGACGTTGAAACATATCCACCCTGCGGGCTGGGTACCTCAGAACTGGCTTCACGACAGGGTGCTATCACTTACGCAGGTTACTGGAAGACAGCCATTGTGGCGTTTTGGAAGAGTGTAACGTCGAACGTGACCGACTGAAAGGGAACATCTAGGTTACGTATGTAACCCTCGTTCCCTGAAGGAGGGAATGGAGACGTTACATCCCTTTGCCACAATTGCTGTTCCGCTGAACGGCTAGGTCACATGGCTCGGCTCCTCAGCAAAGACTTGAATGCGAGTTGCTCGCGCTGCTCCTTATATACCCACACAGCGGGGCGGAGCTCGCGATGCAAATTCCGCAGACCAAGGTACTCAGCGTACCATTGGCTCGTTCTATTACCGCTCTAAGGTGATTGGGCTCTCGGGCGAGACCCCATTCGTCAGTCTGTTCTGACGTAACATCTACATTTCCTCCTTCAGGGAACGAGGGTTACATACGTAGCCTAGACGTTTTTCACTACACACACATGTGGAGATCAGGTCATTCTTTCACTGTTCGTTAATCAGCTGAGGAAATGTTTACAGAGCTGCATGAGGAAGAATGAGTAAGCCTAACCTTTATTAGCGCAGGCCATCCATTTCAGGTTATCAGCAAAGGCAGACTCCCGACCAATCAGGTAAGGGAACACACGCACCTGCAGACAGGAGAGCTTAGGTTAGCTGTCAGTCATGTTTAATCGCTCAAGATTAAGCTAATGTACAATCCCTTAACAGCAGATAAGTCACAGTACCCTGACTGCATCTAATTAGTTTACTCTTTAATTGTTTAGCTTCAATAAAAGTTTGGCCAACCAAACAATTAAAGTTATTTTGTGATACAATAAAAATAAAAAATAAACTATGATGATAATGGATGTAATCTGAAGTCATATTTACAGTGCACATTGCATTAGAAATGTTTGAATATGTTCTGTTGGTAAACACCATTCAAGAATAAAGCCTATAACTAACATACACTAAGACCCTAAAGTCATCAGTCACATGAAAAACATACCAGATCTGATCCATAACAGAACCAATTGCAATCACTTAGCATATTATTGAATGAATGCTGCTTCCACATTCTCTGTGCCTCATTATGTGCTGCCATTGAGATAAACCACATGCACACACACACACACATACAGGAATACTGAGGTGAAGAGAGAGGTGCTGTATGACATACTGGAGGTCACATAAGAAGTACTGCGGTTGCCCCTTAATAGTGGAGAACACAGGGTCTACACCAATTTTAATTTCTTGTTTTCTGCCATGGATTTCTTAACCCAACTAATATATGTGTTAATGGGGGGGGAATTGGATGGTGACAAATGTACTGTACATAGTGAAGTGCATGAGTGGGCAAGCAGAGATGATGTTTAAGAAGAGACCTTAAAGAATGAGAAAAACGATTAATGAACTGGAAAGAGGCAGGTAGTCCACCGCAAGAACCCTGAGCAACAAACTGTGGCCCTGTCCCTAATGGCACAGTTAATGTTCACCTAGAGTCTTGCTGACTGCTGACTATGCTCCTAGACACCCATGTCTGTTAAGTCCACGAGACTGAAAAGTGTGCCATTTGTGTTTCCCATTTGTCATTTTAGGCTCCACAGCAGACTTGTATCCAACAGTCTAAATGGCATTACATCATGTAAATGTGGACTCTGAGGAACACTGCAAGGGTTTACAGTGCAATTTGGGATAGGGTCAGACTCCTTTGGTTCAGCAGTTAGGGACTTGTGATGGCTAGTGAGTGTTTGTATTAATAATTCATATGGATAATTTCCAAATGATTGACATTTGGGTTCTTAAATCTTCTCTGCCTCAAACAGTCCCACTTTAGGGTATCAAAACTCAAAGCTCATGAAAATCAAAATGGATTCTAGATTGTTTTAAAAGATTTTCAACGGTTTACCAATGTCATTGCACTCAACAGACAATTATGATCTAAGGTATAAAGGTATCATTGCATGGCATTTTGGATTAAAGAAGGTATTACAGTAGTTTAATGTAAACTGCAAAGAACCACTAGCAATACGTCCAATAAGTGTGAAACAGCTTTTCAGGAGATTCAGACCACCCCGGAAGACATTAGACATGCTGAGCGAGGGAAGCATTAACAGTGTTATACATGTGGGGAACAATAAAAGCGTGATTGGGGGAGATGCACAAAAGAACACCATATTGGCTCACACTGGGGTGCTTTTTTTTTACAAAGCATAATTCAGTACGTGTTTAAACTCTGCCTCATGTGTCCTGCCACCAGCACCAGCCCCACTAAAACATTACTGTTCTTGTCTGCCAAAAAAGCACACAAAATACTGACCTGAGGAACATTTATTTATTCCTCACAGTATTCCTGCAGTCATTTCCTGTTGTTTATTTAGTATACCTGATTCATCAGTTGGTTCTTATACGTCAGGCAGGTTAAAGAAAATGGTTTGAATCAGTTTCTGATTCAATCTGGATCATGAGGATCTATTAAAACACAAAAACATCTACAAGTACCTCTACAACATGGTAATAATTCAAAAAAGTACATATCAAAGTACCTTGGTATGATTTCATAACACCACTGCACCATAGTACTGCCACATTAAGCAACAGTTTTAAATGGTTGTAACGATAGAATCAGAATCAGAATCAGCTTTATTCGGCAAGTGTGCGCAGACACACAAGGAATTTGTTGTGTTTTAAGGTGCTCTTGGTACATACATGTATGTATACATACATACAAGCATACATATCTGACATGAGAACAGAAAATATTAAATAAGGGTGTATTCACATCAGGAAAGTCCGCTAGTTCACTTGCTTTGGTCCGGACCAAATACAATGTTGATTTTTTTTGTTTGGTGCGGTTCGCTATCACACTGCCCTTTTTCCAAGTGAACCAGAAATTGTAAACAAAACCACACGTGTGCTTAATGTCATCCATTCATTGGTTCATCCATTCAACCGTACCAGAGTTCGTTTGGAAGCGGACTGAGATCACCTCTTCAGCTGGGTCTGGGTACGGTTGTTTGGTCCACTCCCGAGTACGATTGCTGTATTCACACCTGCCCAAAAGATCCGCACCAAGGGGGGAAACGAACTTGAGTTCGATTCAATCGAACCACACAAGACAGGTGTGAATACACCCTTAGACTTTACAGTAACTAATAATAATAATAATAATAATGTATATGAATCTGGAACAGAAGATTTATGTACAGATGTGTGCATTATTTACTCTTTATACAGCTGTATCAATATAGAGATATGTGTCATGACTTCGGTCTGATCTGCTGTGTTTTGTCTTTTTCTGTGTCTGTGTGCTTGGTCTCTGAGCACATGGGTTTTGTTTTGACAGCTCACCATCTGCTCCGCTGTCTGTATGGCGTTGTCCCCTCCCACTCGTTGTCCTTAATTCTCTTTTGTGTTTTCTGTCACACCTGTTGCCATTCATTCCTCATTAACCCTCCCCTATTTTAGATCCTTAGTCTTTTGTCAGACCGTTGTTGTATGTTGTGCAACGCTTCGCTCGTGACCTTCTTGTCATGTTTGCTTTGTCTTGCCGTGTTGTTCTTTTTAGGCCTGAGTGCTGTTTTGTTTTTGTTTTTGAACTTCTTCTTATCCTGCCAGTCGATATCTGTTCTGCTACCTGCCCTGGCTATCTCTAGCTCTGTCGAGATTCTGAGACATCGCCCTAGCCCCTCTCTGCACGCTCAACGCTCTCATCGGGGAGCTCAGTGAGTCCTCTACGCTGCGTCACGAACGACGCTCTGGTCCGTGCAACTTTGACGCTGCATCACGGATGACGCTAGGATCGGTCCCTGCTGAGAGGCTCTTTCTTGGCCCTGTGGACTTTGATTTGGGACTTCCTCTATTTTTGTGTTCCCGTTGATTTTTCCTTATTGCTCCGTGAGAGCGTAATAAACTTGTTCTGTTACCTGCAAACTGAATCTGTATTTTCCCTGACAATATGCATATGTATTTATATAGTACTTGAATTACAGAACACAAGTAATAATTCCTGTGCTATCTGTTTAAGCTGGAGATGGCATGGGAAAAACTGTTTTTATGCCTAGATGTTCTAGGGCACCGAGATCTGTAGTGTCTGCCTGAAGGGAGAAGTGCAAACAGGTTGTGTCCGGGGTGAAAGTGGTCTATGATGATGCTTCCTGCCCGTTTCTTCACTCTGGAGATGTACAAGTCCTGAAGGTTGGGCAGGTGCACACCAATTATCATTTCTGCTGTCCACTGAAGGCAAGTTGAGATGAACCCATGTGCAATTTATTGAAACAGTAAAATCCAAAGTACAATCAAAGATTTGACTTGACTTGAACAGACTTGCCATGAACAGAAACACAACTCACCAACAGCAGGTACACAATACAAAGCTAGACCAGAAACAATGGCAACATGAGGGCTACTTATATCAAACAATAGGGTCACATGTACTGTATGTATCAAGATGGCGCCACAAACGGCTGCCATGGTGCTTGGCTAAATAACTGACTGATTGAGCTCGGCTACCAAAACTGACCTTAGAAGATTGCAGCGGATAGTCCAGAGAGCTGAGCGAATCATAGGTACAACCCTCTCCACCCTCCAAAAACTGTACTCATCCAGAGAGAGCAAAAGGGCTGGCAAAATCACTCTGCCACATCCAGCACACTGCCTCTTTGAACTGCTGCCGTCTGGTCGACGCTACAGAGCACTGAGCACCAAAACAGCCAGACATAGGAACAGTTTCTTCCCTCAGGCCATCTACCTCACGAACAGTTAAAGGGGTCATATGATGCGATTTCAATTTGTCCTTTCTCTTTGGAGTGTTACAAGCTCTTGGTGCATAAAGAAGGTCTGTAAAGTTGCAAAGACTAAAGTCTCAAATCCAAAGAGATATTCTTTATAAAATTTAAGAGTCAA